AAAGTGGTTAGGATAGATATATAGTTACATTCTGTTAATGAATAGAATGATTTGTTCTAATGGTGTTTGTAAACAGGATCTCAAGTCCACATCTTGTACAGCAATTAACCACTAAGAAGAATATATGCAGTGTGTTATTTGTTGAAACTGTACTTCCGATTTGATTTGAAACTGTCTCATTGCTGTTTATCAATAAAATTTTGGAAAAAAAAAAAGAAGTGCATGCAGTGGTGGTCACCAGCCAGTGTCTGCAGTTGCAGGGTCTGCCTGATGTGTAAAAGTGGCACATCTGGGCTCTGAGAAGCAGTGTGGCCCATGTAGTAACAGGTATGCCCAATCTGTGGCACAGGAGCTCTGAAGTCACCTTGCGATGCCTCCGGGCCAGGGCAGCAGCTGTGCTCTCCTGGGCTGCCAGAGGCCCTACCAGGGAAGCCAGCACAGGCGTAGAGCGCCATGTGTGGCAGTCCCTCCCAAGCCTCTCCTATGTGAACTGCAGTGCCCTGTTCTAAGACACCACTGTCTCCTGCTCACAGCGATCACTGCAATATCCTGTCACCTCATCCATTTGTGTCTCCAAGACATCTGCCACCCACAAGTCACAGGATCTTTTCAGACCACAAACCTGAATCAATGTCACGCCCCTTCCATGAAACTTTTCAGAGGTGCCCAATGCCCTCAGGATACTTAGCAACATATAACAAATAAGCTAGCAAGAGCAGCACACTGACATGGGGCCTCTTTTATGCCAGTGACTGACACTACCATGCCCTCATTAACAGTGGACTCCGTATTTGTGAATTCACTCAGGGGATCAAATTCACTAGTGGCCCCAAATCGGTACCCCCAGTGCCTGTGTGGGCGTTCTGGGGTGTACGCAGAGCGGGGACACTGTGAGCCCTCCGAGGTGTGCTATCTACTCCAACAAGGCAACTGACTGCCTCGTTTTAACTTACGCTCTGATGTCTTTTTGTGATCGACTTAGTGCCATCCTGTGGTGTGCTTTGTCTCTTCCCTCCCTCCCTCTCTTTTTTTTTCCTTCCTTTTTTATTTTGGTTTTGGTGGTTTCGCTCTTTAGAAGGTCCTAAGCCTAGCGCTGAGGAGCCATCCAGGGGTCCTGGGAGGAAGGCTGGGCCGCGCCCTGCAGAGGAAATCTGTGCGTCTGCTGGCGGGCGTCAGGAGTGAGCTGCGGTGCAGTGAGCTCTGAACTCAACGGCAGCGAAGTAATAACATATTTTAAATAAGAGGCCAGAACCAGAAACGCAGATGACATGAGGTGCTGCACCGATCAGGTGATGAAATGCTGTCACGAGAGATTCAGGGACTCCCAGGGGACACTGGCTCACTGAGACAACCTGACGGATCACAGCCATAAGGATCTGCGAGCACTGACTGCAGTAGCTCACCTAGAACTTGTGCGAGTCTTAAAAGGCGCAGCCATACGCAGCCCTCCAGCGTTTCGCCGCACTTGTATTCTTAGCCAGACTGCCCTTCTTTTAAATCTTCAAACTTAATTGTCTTTCTAAGAAAGCACAGACAACTATATTAAGGACTTTCCTAGTTTTCATTAGAAATATCAATATGTAAAATAAAAGACATGTTTTTGATATCTTTCAATAAAAATAATGAAAGATTCAAATGAGGTTAGAGAGAAAGAAGGAAAAACCAGAGCCAGTAGCACTGCATCTTTGAGCTTAAGTAACTCGGAGCTTTGGGAGACTGCGTCTGGCATTGCACCAGCGCCTGCAGCTTCCAGTTCCTGCCATGGGCTGGGAGCTGCGGAGGGAGATGGGAACGTGGCTGAGAATGACTAAGAGCAGCGAGTTGGGAAGGCTCTGAGCACTGGGTGCCGTAGAGCATGGAGGAGCCGGGGAGTGCCCAAAGCACAGCCACCAGCAGGGGAAAAGCCAGGAGGGGCAGATAGCATTGGGGTCCCAAAGGAAGGGGAGGTGCTGTGCCAAGGGAGCAGCCAGAAGGTCTGGAAAATGCAGAGGGAAACAAAGATGATGTGCCTGCTAGCCAAGAGAGACTCGCAGGGTAAGGGTGGTCAGGTGCACTGGAGTAAAGTATGTAAAAGAGGGACATGGGAGGGGGGTGGGGAGAACGAGAGAGAGAAATGACTGGCAGGAAAGTCTGCAATTCCATAAGCCGATTCCTAAGCTTGAGAATATGTTGGAGGGCTGGGAATTTCCCCCACAGCTTCTGATGAAGAGATTCAGGGGGGAAACAAACTGTATGTTATGGCTTGTGTCTAGGTGTCCCCCCCAAAGCCTCATGTGGTCACAGGTGGGGCTTTTTCAGAGCTGGCTGGACCTAGAACGGGTGATGCTGGGGTTGATTCATGGTGCAAACCTCGGATCAAGGGCAGGAGGATTAAGGGTCTGAGTGCTACTTGCCCTGAGTAGCCTGGATAACTATGATGGACAAAAAGAGCTGTTCCTTTGTTGCTTTGCTACTTTCTGCCTGCCCGAACTGTGTCCTCTGATGCCTGCCTGCCACGCCACCCCATCCTGGGGCCAGCAGATTATGGACTGACACCTCTATAAACTGTGAGATAAATGAACCCTTCTTTAACTTTGGGTGTATTTTCTCACTTTTTTTTTAACTTTAGGGAAGGGTCTACAGGGTGTTCAGGGTCTCACTATTACATCAGACTTGTAGTGATCCACATCTTTACAGCCTTCCAATAGCTGGGATTATAGGTGTGCGCCACCACACCCAGTCCCAATTGCTGTCTCAGTGTGCCCTGGGGGCAGGACCAGCCTTGCTGGCCCCTGTGCCTGCTTGCAGGTGCTTTAATC